TATATATATATATATATATATATATTTTTTAATTCCATTGCAGTTTGGGTATTTTCAAACTCGGCAATAACATTTTTAATTTGAATGGCGACTTCAATGAGGGGGACGCACCTTTTGGAGAGCCTGGCAGCCCTACAGGAGCAAGAAGCTAGTAATCGGTTTCACGTGAATTTCGCTGTAATGAAACTAAGGAAGGTTTGTGCGAAAGAAACGACTAAGTGCACTCTGTAATGTTTTCACAAGTGTTTTTATCATGGTAACATCTTGTTTACTTTAGTTGCCTGCCTAAAACTACTTGGAACATGTTAAGAAAACATTTCAAGAAAGCTTCTACAAAGAGGCTTTTGTTTAGCAGCAACTGTGAGGCTGCTCAGCTCACAAAGGTGTTAACTTTCAACCCCTTAAGCACTTCCACATGAAATTCCAGCAACTGTGTTTGTGGTTTTGCAAAAACAAAGTGCATGTTAAAGAAACCAGGTATATGCTAATACATGTTGAAGTCGGCCGGAAATCATAAATTGTTTCAAACACATTAATTGCTATCATTTGCATGTCAAAATGTTCTGCAGTGAAATCATCTACGGTTAGCACAACAGAGACTTTTGATCAAACGGGCAGGCAGGGCAGAAGAGGCTCGTCTGTCTTAAGTTTTAAACGTGCGGCGTACCCACTCGGTTCCTCAAACATAAATGCAAAGGATTACTGGCGCGAGGTGTTTCCAACTGTTTCTTCATCCTAAGGAGAGTAAGGCAGCCGAAGTGCAATTGTTCGTGAAATCTGTTCGTTGGGAAAACATGTTGATACTCCCCGATGAAAGAACTCATTTTATTTTCTAGGCTGCCACGTATTTGGAGTTGCTGTTCAAATTTGAATTTTACAGTTTCTTTTACAGCATCCTTATTAACCTTTCTGACATTGCACGGAAGTTCAAGACCTTTCCAATAGCTACATTGCTTAAAGAGGTCAGAGTGGCCTAAATACCACAGTGCCCTCTAGTGATCTATAGGATATTAGAAGGAAAAGTTTTTGGTGAGTAGCCCAAAGATAACATCGCAAATAGCCCCGCGCTTCATTGTGCTTATCAGTAGATGAAGAACGACTGAGCTTCATCTAACGTGTATAATTTTCATTTTATAGACATAGACGAATCATTTTTTTATCTCACAGCTATTTCAGGTGTGAACATCTGAGGAATATATATATTATATATATATATATTATATAT